ATCACAAATCCATCTCTCAAAGATTGAGGAATACTGACCAAATCAGCGGTTCTTCCACAATCTGACACTATCAGTCGGCCTCGATATCTCCGTCCCGCATGGCATCTTCCAAGGCTTGCTGGGCGCTTGCCACTTGGTGCAGCTCCTGCAGGAAGGTTCATACACTTGGCCCCCGGATGTGTCTTTCTGAGCTTGACTCTGCACAGATTTCAATCCAAACTATATAATTACTGTCATTTAAACTGCTCCGGCTGAGGAGTCTTTGCCAAAGCCAGGATCGAACCGTCCTCCAGCTTCTGCTTGGCATTGGCTAAATCCTTCGGTAGAACAAAGCGGAAAGCCAATGCAATGGTCACCAACCCGCCAAACTCCACAGAGTTTTGCTCCTCTTCATCTACTTTGGCCTCTTTGGCTTTTTCTATGGCTTGCTCGAGCTCTTTGGCCTAACATTACCAATGGCGGACATGATGGACCACAAACCAAGGGGTCATCGGTGTTGTGTTGTGCTAGCGAAATCGGCCCTAGAATGGACAAGGTGAAACTCATCAAAGAACGCACTTCATTTACCGTTGGGGAGGCTGGAGGCTGTGTTGGAAGACCTACAGACTTGCTAATGGCTAAGTTGGGGATGATGATTCGGATGACTCTACTTGACACATAGCCCCAGTCAGTGACACCCGCACTTGCTCACCAACTCGTTCGCACCTGCACCTTTGGCTCGGCCACCAGGACCTGCGACCGCTTCGCTTACAGAGCCGATAGAGACGACATAGAGACGACATGAAGAATTCTAAGGATGAATCAGGCACATGCCAATAAGTCTTTATGCAGAGCCATTGCATACCGTGCTTCAACTTGCCGGTTTGCCCTTCGCCTGCAAAGCTTTCAAAGCCTGTAGAGTCGGTAAAACTTCTTGGGCATCTTGGAGGGCCTGGAGGGTGCCGCTGGTGGCGCGGCTCACAGCAATTCATAGTGATGAACCGGTCCAGCGGCGTTTCCCTCTCGCCCACCCAACCATGCTGTGAAGCCTTCAACCTCGAACTAATCCCAAGTCATCTCCCCCCCAAAAAAGGGATCCCCTCGCAAGTGGACAACTGCACAATCAATTCTTAGTTGGGGCACGCAGGAACGCCCCTTGTTTCCTTTCAAGCTTTGTCAAATGGGCTTCAAACCTTGTGAAAGGCAGCTCCGTTGCCACTGAAAAAGGTGCACTTACTTTGAGTCACTTGAGAAGCAAGCGCTACACATATATAAAAATATAGTAAAATAAATAGCTGGGGGGGGAATTCACCGGTACACTGTGGTGGAGTTGCTGCTTAAATCAGCTTCAAAACAAAGTCACAAAGGATCCAGGCAAGGTTCGCAAATCTGATTCATAACAGGGGAGGTTCTCTTTCAAGTCTGTTTTCCATCAGTTATCTATTGCCCCACACACAGCCCACGGTCCTCTCCGAAAGATCCCAAAGCTTCCAACGCCTGAAGAAATAGCAAGCCCACCCTGCTACCCTCCTGGAAATCTCTGTGTAATACAAATATCTGCTGAGTCCTCCCTAGTGACATACATTGCTTGCATGCTGCAAGTAGCTTTGGAAAGGAATTTGAAGCTTGTCAACTCACCTCACGACCTCAAGGGCAAGTCAGATTCACTCACGCCTTGTTTAGGCGCTTTCGCTCCAAAGGCCGGAGATTCAAATGATCTCCCAACGCCTCAGAAGGCACAAATTCGATCAAGTTTCGCTTCAGCTGACAGGGGAAAATCATGAAGGGGTCTTTTGCAGCCCATAAAATCGTAAAAGCTGGTGAAAGCTACAGTAGATTACAGTATATACCTCTATTGACCTATTGTATTTCCTAAGGCTTGGTCGCCCATACTAAACATGCCCACCTGGGCTGCAGAGACCACTTCAGAAGTGCTCAGCAGCCTGTGCAGTCGGAGCGGTTAGAGTGACACTTGGAGTCTACATGAGTCTACTATGTCTGTGTTTATGGCTTGATAGTATGAATCATTCATGGTTGGAACAAACTGTTGCGAAGTTCCAAGCCATTCCAAGTTCATCGGTTCAGCTCTGTGGCAACTCGAAGATGGCATTGTCATGCGTTTCCCATACAGGCCAGCTGCCTACCAAGTTTTTTTAGAGCCCACAAAGTCCTTCAGATTTGATACTTCACACTCTGCACCTGGTGAAACCAGAACAAGAGATACTGTTGACACACCCTTGGGCAAGACAAATCTGTTCAGGCTCATTCTCTTTTGACCAAAGCCAAAAACTCGATCCAAGAACCAAACACACGAAGTCACGACCAAACTACTCGGACAACCTAGCTGCGATGCCTCTGGCTTTGGCACCATGTCATAGCCTAAAGCACGGGAGGTGCGCTTGGAAAAGTCTGGCAAACAGAAAGATCACTCAGAGCATTGCATGTAGGCATCAGAGTGGACATTGGAACGACGTTGCTCAAGGTCTTTCAGCATGGGTTGCATCCCAAATTACACTGGATCGATTGCAAACAACTATTCACCACCTACTGCATAGGCGAGACCAAGTGAGACAAGTAGGGAGACAAGTCGGGAGGTCTGTCAGGAGGCAATGGGAGGCAAGGGCAACATCATCTTGAGACCGGGCCATTTCCACGCAAGAATCCCAATAGCTAGGTTTGGGCGAGAATACATAAACAGCAGTGAAACCCATCAAAGCAGCATCATAAGCGATCAAGCACGTCAAAGAATGTTCATGTTGCAAAGGAAATAACACGGATGATGGATAGTCAGCAAACCAGCACTGCGCAGCAGCAGCAGCAGCAGCAGCAGCAAACAGTTTGGCGAAACATGTCTGAGCTCACTTGCCACCGCCATCACAAAGCAAACAGTGTGTCAGTGTTACCTTTTCAAAAACTTTGGACGAGCGCATACAATAATAGGGAAGGACACAACCTTACAAATGGTTGCAGAAAACATCCAACAACTATCCATGAAACACACTCGTATGAAGAAATTGCAAATGGCATGTGCCTAGCTGTGTCCACCATCTGGCTGAATTGATATACACAAACATGATTGGGCATTGTGCAAGGCCAGGATGTGTAAAAAGAACTCATTTCAAAGTTGAATCCCTGTATTTCCCCACGACTGCTCTTTTCCAAGAACCTGCAGTCGTGTCCACGGGCCCGATCCCATTTGGCAAACCAGTTCAAGGAAATCAAGAAGGGAAACTGAAAACAACTGTGCTGGTGCTTTAAGTAATAATCGCTTGGCGCAAACGAAGAGTTGACCAAGAGCAGCCTCATCCACTCTTTGGGGTAGGCGTGCTTCGGCAAAAACTTCTCTCAGTCCTTCCACCTGTGACACTGCGAGCAGGGTATCTGCACCATACTGTTGGCTCATGCAGAAGTGTAGCTATATAGCCGATTGCTTTCTGTGACGGCATACAGCATATGTCCTTGACATCCATTTGTCTTGGGGTCCTTGTCTTAAGGGCTCATGAACACCCTAGCACAATGCTTATCATTACTTGTCCAGAGTTGTCACTGCCAACTGAAGAAACCTTCTGTTGTAGAGCTAGAGTGTCAATAAAGTCAAATGCGAGAGATTGCCACCTCTGGAATCTTCTGACTCTCAGCAGCTTTGAGGTCCTACCACCGCAAGAAAGGCTTTGGACATCCAGCTTGAAGCCAGGAATGTTGGCGAACATGGAGATGCATTTCTTTGAATTTCAGGTATCCCCGTTCCACCCATTGCAGTCTAAAAATCCCTAAATAGTTGATAAGAGTCCACCATTGGACACAGGCAACTCCCAACTTTACCATCAGCGTTGTTGTGAGTTGTTTAGTAGTAACAAGAAGCTAGTAGTAACAAGTGCCACGCTAGTAGTAACAAGTGCCTTACTAGTAGGAACAAGAAGCTAGTAGTGTTTACCTAGTAGAGTTGAAACCTTGACGTCCTGGAGCAGGTACCATGCATCGGCAACGGCCTCATCCTGGCTAGACATTCTGCAAGAATGGTTGGCATTCAAACATGCAGTTTGGGCCAATCAGGTGCTTGAACCGTACCCACATTGGCTTTGGATCGCAA